TGAAATGTAATGCAAATGAAAGCAAATGGAAGGCTGCAAAGTAGTAGCAAGAATAGCCACATGGAGCCACACAAATGGAAGCAAGACTTTTAATGTAATCTTGCATTAAATGTCTTGTAGATTTTTCTCTTAATGGATAAGTATTAGGTACTGTTTATGTACTGAATTTTCTACCATGTAATAGCAGAACAATGAATGCAAAAGATGGGTTATCACCTCTTGAAATGAGAGAACTCTGGTGCTTCTCCCTTTCTCCTCCAAGTCCCTCCCCTTTCACCAAAAAATCCAAAATGGTATCAGAGCTTCAATAATCTAGAGGGACCTCTGAGTGTGAGTTTGAGTGAACACCAAAAAAAAAAAAAAAAAAACCCCACCTTTCTTTGTTTTTTAGATGGTTTTTCATGTGAAACCCCTCTTGCTTGGCCAAAATCTTACAGCAAAAAAAGACTGTGAAGATGGAGGCATATGTTAGTCTCACCATGGGAGATGTCAAGGAGAGGAAAACTGGATTCAAAGAGAAGGTGTTCATGTTTGTTTCAAAAAACAGTCCATAAGGCAAAACATGGTTGATGGAATGGGAAACTGAACACAAAAAAATTAATTTCATTTCATGATATGTCCATCCATCTTTTATGTTTACTATGGTTGTGTCTTGAGTTTTCCTAAGAAAACTGTTCATGGATGTAGCTTTGATGGAGGTTTCACCAACACCAAGCACAAAGAAGCTGAAAAATGGCATCAAAGCTGTGAAATTTGCTGCAACGAGATAGCAAAATGGCTTAGCAAAGCTCCAAAAAAATGTGTGAAAGCAGCAAATCCAAGCAAGATGAAGCTGCAACATTAAAGGAGGAGTTGATCTGCTAAAGGAGATGCTTCAACAGCAACAAAAAATCAAAACCAAAGCAGAAAGAACTACACAAATGGCAGATTCCAAATGCTTGGTTAATGTCATGTTATCCTCAGCTTTAACACCAAGGAGGAGTGTTGGAGCTGTGGTGTCAAAGTTGCACAAGAGGTAGCAAATGGAAAGAAAGCTGCACAAGTGGCAGCAAAATGAAATGAAGGGAGAGCTGCACCAAAGCACGGTAGCAGCAAAGTGCAGCAACCTATTCTGCAAAATGTTGATGAAATGTTGGTGAAATGAGGTTGAAATGTAATGCAAATGAAAGCAAATGGAAGGCTGCAAAGTAGCAGCAAGAACAGCCACAGGGAGCCACACAAATGGAAGCAAGACTTTTAATGTAATCTTGCATTAAATGTTTTGTAGATTTTTCTCTTAATGGATAAGTATTAGGTACTGTTTATGTACTAAATTTTCTGCTATATAATAGCAGAACAATGAAAGCAAAAAATGGGTTCTGACCTCTTGAAATGAGAGAACTCCGGTGCTTCTCCCATTCTCCTCCAAGTCCCTTCCCTTTTCACGAAAAAATCCAACAGCCTTCATCGTCCTTATCCAACAAAACACCCTTTGAAAAGCTATTCAAATTTCGACCTAATTATGTCAAACTTAGAGTTTTTGGGTATCTTTGCTTTCCGTGATAACTGAGAACCTGTGATCAGGTGGTGGCAGCTTGGGGGATGGTAGGTTGTGTTTTGGTGGCAGGCGTGGGTCGTACGGTCCAGAAAGAATCTTGTGATGGCTAGCAAATGATGGTGTGGTGAAGAACACCGGTACTCCAAGGAGAAGCAGCGCAAGGAAGAATATTTTGGTAGACATCTTCAAGCTCTATCTAGGTGATGGTGCAAAACTAGAAGAACTGAGTCAGTAGTTATAATGAAATGAATCATATAACTGGCCTGTTTGTGCATGACAATTAGCTGTAGCAAAGCAACTAAGCACTTAGTAGTATCGTGTCAAATAAAAAAGAAGCAACTTAATATAAGTTCCTAGAATATATATTCTGTCTGTAAGTATATCTCCCCAAACTACTCGAAATTTGTCCATATGATTTGCCGAAGTATTCATATATTTTTTTTAAATAACAAATTACTTTCATTTAAAAGTTTTTTTTTTTTTTTACATAATGAAAGGCAATCATCTCTTATCTTTTATCCCACTTCACCCGGAAATCATGCAACTCGAATTTAAAATCTCTTACTTTCAATGAAAAACAATAATCACTAAATTATCTTTATCGTAAACATTTTTATTTAAAAGTTATAACTTAATTACTAAATAAGTTTGTTTTTAATTCTTTAGATTGATCAATAAAAAAATAATTTTTTATACGTTTTATATTCTCAACATAAATTATTTGCTTTTAATCATATCAAAGAAAAATTAGTCTTAAAGCTATTAAACCAAATAAATATACTATAAGGGGATAAAATTCAAGCCTCCCCGCTAGCTACCCCGACGAAATAAACTAGAGTCATCACAATAACATTACAGTAATAAAAATCTACAACCACTTTGTCTATTTTAATTAAAATTACCATGTTTAGTCCAAAGCCGTAATACCTTTCGAAAAGCCTTATTAAAAAGCAATGATGAAAAAATTTAGCAAATGTAAAATCATTCTAAAATCTAAAGTATTGTGTGTTTACTGGGAAAAGTACTGTAAAAAGAAAATAGGGCATTGGAAATTTGACACCATGTGAAGCATGGGAAAGTAAGTAGGATCTTTAACAAAGAAAATAAGCAGTAATTAGATGGCAGTGGAAGCAATTGCTGAGGATCAAATGACTCAACAAGTGGGTTGACAAGATGTGAAGCTTCATCCTGCTCGCATACCAGCAAAGAAAGATTGCAGAAATTACTTCTGTATGAAAAGGGATGCACGTGAACATTTATGTATGTACACGCCTAAATGAGAGAGAGCCAACCTGATTACCTAGGCCAGTGGCCAACATTTAAGAGGACAATGAAGTGTTCAACAGAATCAAAATTTCCATAGGCTCTGATGGATCCTTGTCGCCACATGCTATCAAAAACAGGGCACTGTAAAAAGGGTAGAAGAAGCAAGAAACTTGCCCCCAGAAAAAGCAGAACCTAAAGATGTTATATTGGGATTCAGTTTAAGAAGCTCACCTTAACCTGAGGAACTGAGGAAGTAGTAGTTCCTCAGGGAGAGAGCCACCTGGGTAACAAATAAACTCAAGAAAAACATCCACAGCAACAGGCTCAAGTCCTGTACATAGGATGTTCTCCACAAGTTCCTCGGTCACCTTGGAGGTGTCATGCTGACACTGAAATACAATGCATCAGATGCAGTCAACACCGGCCAGTGACATGGCTGATTTGATACTTAACTTTTCAATAAACTGCTTATTATTGGTTTCTTATGAATGTGATAACAAATGAGTCCCTGGCAGAGACTTCTTCTTACAGACTCTGGTGTGGCAACAGATTTGTAGAAAAATTTTCACTCAGCAGCATTCCTTAAAAACCTAAAAGGACTACAGCAACGAATAAGCTAGCAGAAACTAAATAGCTGCCCATACCATTTTTACCTCAGCAAACTCTGGAATAATGCAATAAATCATCTTCCAATCCATAGGTGCTTCTTTATATAAAGCATGTGCAGAGACACATTCAGTAAAACTATGCTCTTACAGATCAGATCAGTGGCTACATAACTGCTGCCCATAGACCAAGAAGTCCTGCATGCATGAAGACTACAAATTACATTAAGAGGCATATTTTCCATGTAATCATTTTCATAAAAGTAAAACAGAAAAAAGAGAATAACATAGGAGTAGGAAGTTACAAAAAAAGGGGGTCTCACTGACAAGTACGTTAGCTAAATGTCAGCAACCATGATGGTTGCAGGTCATTATGTCGAATATAAAATGACTAATTCATTTCAACAAGTGGAATAAAATCATAATGTCTAGAAATAATTAACATAAGAATTGATGTAATTAAAACCTATTGTAAATTTCCTTACCATCTTTCCACTAGGCAAAATCACTACAAGAGAAGTGAAAAGGGTCTATGGACAAATTTTTTTTTTTTTTGCTGGACAAAAGTGAACTATCCACAAAAATTAAACTTCACGTTTTTTGTAATCACAAACTATGACAGAAATCAGCTGAACACTAAACCTTGAGAACCAGAGACTAAAATAATAAAAAGGGGTGCACATAAAAAAAAATTAAGAATATTAAAAGGGTGATAACTGATAACCTCCTTAGAATTGCAAATGAAGAATGCCCCATCCTTAGAAACGTTGCTACAAAAGCCATTCAGCTGGGAGGCCCATGTCTCAAATGTATAGAAAGAGTCTCTAACTTCAGGAGGAATTGGCTTGTCACAGTATGCATAATAAGATCAATTGCATATACTCTATGTGATTTTGTCGCTGCAATAATACACAAGAAGCACAATTAGTACTTACCATTGGGTGTGAAAGAAAGGATAATTTTGAAGCTGTAATGGTTGAGATGAAAGCTTAATTGTAGAAACCATGCGATGAAGCATTACTTTTACATTGAATTACATCTTTGTTTCTAAACAAAATAGAAGCATATATATTCCAGAATATAAGGAGATAAAAAAAAAATGTATAAAACAATTTGTGCATTTAATACATATTGCAATTACTTGTCTGCTAATGGCACGAACTATTGTAAGGTGATGAACAACTACTGTGATGTAATTGAAGAGAATCCATATAACTGTGTTGTGCTAACAATTGTTCCTTGACATGTAAACAGGAGGCATTTCATAGCCTCAAGATTTTAGGGCCTCTCAAAAATCACAGAACATCAATTCCCCCTTTTCTTTTAAATAATTGAATAGGATAAATCTCATTTTCCACTAGTTATATGCAAATTCTTTACTTTCCAAAATGAGTAACCTTAGTTTCCCCCTAAGATCATCTACTACAGATTATTGGATGTTGGTTCTTCTTATTTTAGACCTATTTACACATTCAAACGTCAAAGAGACAAACAGTTTATATCTAAATCCACACTGAAGGTGAAATGAATAGTCAGCAAAGTAATGCCATCAAGTCCATTGCTTATATAGGCTTGCTAATGTTACCATTTCTGAAATAGCACATTTTAAAGCTTAGAAAGTCACTGATAAAATTAAATAAAGAATTACTGAACTTCAAAAAGAGATTAACACAAACAGAGTAAGAATGAATGTCATAAAAATAAAATTTAACAGCAACTCAACTTGACAACTACCTCTTCGAGCCTTAAAATTTTGAACCAAGTGCCCTTAGATTTACCTTGTACCTAACTATAGCGTTGTTATTTCATTATTTTCATTATTGTTGTTCCATTATTTTCCAACCGAAGTTATGAGAAATTAGAAAGTTTTAATTTTTAACGTTTATTTTCACATTCCACAAACTCAGCCACCAAAAGTATTCTCAAATTCAGTTCAATTCAAAGGAAAAAAAAGAAAACATAAAACGTGAAAAAGGAAAGACAGCCAGCTTTGGACTTGAAGGTTGAAGCTTTGGCTTGATAAATTGTTGTCTTTCGGTTTGATCTTCAGCTGGATTATCAGTTGAAACATGGTAGTCAACAGACCCATTTGACCTCAATCGTGAAAGATCGCAAATTGAGCGAGAAATCGTCAGTCTTGGAAACAAAGTCTTGCCGAAATGGACCCGTGACTCGACGATCATTGTTCTCCCGGCAGAAAACGGACCGGAAAATCTTATCTCGATGAGGTATCGACGTCGCGCCTGATTTTCTTTTCTGGGGTCGAAATCTGGAAAACGGTGAGGTAAGAGAGTGGTTAAGGGACCGCTAATAAATTCCTGATTAGGAATGGTCCACCGTCCACGTAGCCAGAACGGAAAAGGATGTTCCGTCCTACGTGGCATCCTTGTTGGACCCCACCTTCTGAACGCCTGGGAAACTAATCTAATGGTTACAAGAGAAAATGATTTTGTAAAAAGAAAAAAGGGTTTTTGATTTATTAATTACAAAATTTATAATTAATTTTACCTAAATTTTTATATTAGATTTCTATTTTTTATAAAATTTGATTATAAGTATTATATCTTATTTTAACTTTATATTATATTTATTTTAATTAAATTTAAAATAAAATTTTATATAAAATTAATTAAAATTTTGTATTTAATAAAATTTAACACTAAAGGCACAAGTTAAAAGGTTCTTAAAGGGAAAAAAATCTGACTCTCACCCATTTTTATATGAGAGAAAACTCCATTAAATAGTCCCTGTACTTAAATTTATTGACCATTTAAGCCTCTGAAGTTATGTTTTTGGAGCTTTAAGCTTCCTATATATGGTAAAAATTTATTTTTAACCTCTTACTTTACTAAATTTAAAGGTTTTAACTTCTTATCTTATACTATCACACTTTTAGTTTCTTACCTATTAAAATCAATGAGAATAGCTCTCGCTTTATATTGACTGTTAATTCTATTAGTTGAAAGTAGATTTTTACCAACTAATAGGTAATTAATAGTCAATTAACATAATTAAAAAAATATTATAAAATTAATTTTATTAACTTTGTTAATTAAAAAAAGTTTTTGATAACTAAGAGTCAACTAATAAAGTTAATAATTAGTTAACAAAACTAATAAAATGTCATAAAGTGAAAGTTATTTTCTTTAATTTTAATAGGTAGGGGGTTAAAAGTGTGGTTAAAACCTATAAATTTAATCAAGTGAAGGATTAAAAATATTATATTATAAGATAAAGGGTTAAACCCTTTAAATTTAGTAAGGTGGGGAAGGAAAGATTTTGCCCTCTACATCTTAAGCATTTAAGGCGAAGTGCCAAGTTCAACATTGACGTGACCATAATTCTTCTGTTCTTCTGGCTCTAATGGTGGCACGTAAGTGCCAAGTTTTGCATATTGGTTTGAGAAAGTGACACATTGAAAAATTTGACAATTTTAATATTAAAAAAACAAAATGACAACAGATATATTAATTGTAATTTTGACAAATTTACATGTCAAAAAGCACCCTTACATGGTGTTGAGGAGACGAGAGGATGGAGGAAAAACGGTCACATTAGCATGCCATGCCATTCATGTTTTGAGCTCAAGCACAATGACTTAAGCCAAAGATAAATAACTTCAAAGGCTTAAACCCTGGAAAAGTTTAAAAGCAAGGGCCATTTAATGGGATTTTGCTTAAAAAATAAAAGAGGAATGATAGTAATATCATTTTTATCAATTTCTTTTAGATATTTATCCTTAAGATTAAGTGATTATTGACAAATATTAATATTAAAATATTAAAAAATAACAATTATTATCAATTATATAAATGGATGCTTCATGTGATTCAATTATAAAGAGTGCTGAAAAAGGAAAAAAAAAAAGCTGAAAAATGTGTTTCTCACATTTCTTAAAGACATGAACTTTTTAAGCATTTTTGGAAAATGATTTTTTTGCCCAAAAAGATCTTTGCTTTTGACCAAACCGGCGCACTTTGCACAACTTGTTTGTTTGGGTGGACTTGTTATTCCTTATTCAAATCTTGAAAGTAAGGAAATGGGAGGAAGTTGTCCTAATAAGATAGGAACAAGTAAGTTTTAAAATTGATTGTTTTTTATTAAATTAGTTATTTTTGGTGAATATTAAATTAGATAATAGGTACTTTTTTCTTAACGAAGAAATTATTAATCTTAGAACTTATTTATTTTTCATTTTTCAATAAAAATTTTAATTTTATTTCATTATCAAAATCTCCCAATAAAAGGAATGATTGTTACCAATTAAACAAGTTTTGCGAAGATCAACTATGTAATTTGATATTATAATTATCTCTATTATTAACTTGTTAGATAATGATATAGAAATAAATTTTTTTATTTTAAATAAAAAAAATTAATTATTTAATGATATGTAAAGGTAAAAAAAATTAATATAAAAAATTATTTTTAAATTACTTTCCTTAACTTGTCAATGATGCAAATTTCTACAAAAAGGTAATTTTTGCAACATTTCACTGTAAAGTTTTGAGTTTATATTAGAATACAGTTTGATAAAAGACATATCATATGAAAAGAAAAAAAAAAAACTTTACGTAGTAATTTTATTCGTATAGATTCTCATGAATTTAATTATTTTTTTCAATTATAAAAAATAACAAAAGTGATTATTAAATAATCATTAAAAAATATTAATGATATATTAATCTGAATAAAATAAAATCTCTTTATAAATAAAATTTTAAATTTAAATTTTATAAAAATAAATAAATAAATAGAGAACTTTCTCTTGTTAGGACGAGATTTGATTTTGGATAAGTTAAAATTCAATGCTTACTGGGCAGAGAGGTCAATATTAAAAAAAAAAAAAAATCATCAGAAGAAAAATACAGCTAACTCCCTGTTTTATGTGTCAGCCCTAATAACACTTCCTTAAATTCCCCCAATCTTTCCTTTCACGCCCAAAAATACTTCCAACCCAAGCTCAGAGGAGAGGGGTCCCTTATCATCGCCATCCCCATCACCTCCACCACCGCCACTGCTACCGCCAAACCCTAATTGTTCCCCTTCCTCCGCCGCAGCTATGGACCAGCAATCCCAGCTCGCCCTTCTTCTGGGCTCCGATCTTGCCCCTTTCGAAACCCTCATCTCCCACCTCATGTCCTCCTCCAACGACCAGCGCTCCCACGCTGAGCTTCTATTCAACCTCTGCAAGCAGTCCGATCCCGATTCTCTTTGTCTCAAACTCGGTCACCTCCTCCAGTCCTGCAACAACCCGGAGACCCGTGCTATGGCTGCCATTCTTCTCAGAAAGCTGTTAACCCGAGATGATTCCTACATCTGGCCTCGCCTCAACATCAATACCCAATCCTCGCTTAAATCAGTTCTTTTATCCCAAATCCAGGTTCAAGCGACTAAGGCTTTGTCTAAAAAGCTTTGTGATACTGTTTCCGAGCTTGCTTCTAGTATTTTGCCGGAAAATGGATGGCCGGAGCTCTTGCCTTTCATGTTCCAGTGCGTGTCCTCTGATGTGCCGAGATTGCAGGAGTCTGCTTTTTTGATATTTGCGCAGTTGAGTCAGTATATAGGTGATGTTCTGACTCCGTTCATAAAGGATCTTCATGCGGTGTTCTTGAGATGTTTGAGTGAGAGTTCCAATCCCGACGTTAAGATTGCAGCTTTGAATGCACTGATCAATTTCATTCAGTGTTTGACAACCTCCTCAGATAGGGATAGGTTCCAGGATTTGCTTCCAGCTATGATGAGGACACTGACTGAGGCATTGAATAATGGAAATGA